CAGAATCTTTGTTGCTTTAGCTTGTATTCAGTGTCAGCAAAGGAGAACACCATACCCTCAAGGACCAACTTCCTATACCAGCAAAATTCAGCAAGGCTCTCATCAGTCAAGGGAGAAGCTGGACATGAGTGCAGGAAATGGGCTTCTAGACCTGAGTGAGTGTTCATCAGTTCAATGACTACAATTTCACTGTTCTATGATACTTTTCACTCCAAGAACCCCAAAGAAAGAACATCTTTGTGTTATGAGATCCCAATTTGGCAGGCAAAAGAGATAAGAAAGGCTTTTGAACATAAACCGATTTTACTAGAATATAATTTAGAATCCTTAACTTCTCAAAGCTGTGAAAACTGGACTGACAAGATCAAGCAATCGCCATAAAATGGTTAACATAAATAAATTTCTCCCTGCAAGCTGCATTCTTACAAAGATACCTTCCACTCTGGTTTCATTCAATTCAGTCAATATTTGAACCACAGCGAGCCATGCACAGTCCGTTCTGGTCCCTCTGAAGCTTCTTCCCATCCCAGAGACACTTGATTGTGAGTCTGCTTCTTGCTTACCTCTGCTACCTCCTAACCTCCCCATTGGACTGGAAACCTCTCTTACTGAGTGGTTGCTCCTCCCTGTATGCCATACCTGTCTCTTCTGGGAAATCACTTCCTCCTTGACATGTATAAAAAGGGTAGGAGGACCAATCTTCCTCTCTCAAGAGCTGTGATTGAGCTAAATATGTCATTTTAAAAAGAAATCTAACATAAATGGAGAACAAATGAAGCAGACACTGTCCATCGAACCTTGACATTATCCTCATTTTCCAATTGAGAAACAGGAGCTGAGAAAGTGAGACATCCAAGATAATAAAGATTACTGGAAGACCTCTGCCTTCCCAGGTGCCATGCGTGACTCTTTGCTGGCTTACACAGCATGCCACAGAGACTTAGATGAGTCCATTTTAAAGTCTTTCATGTGCTCTCATAGAGCTTAAACGTTCAAAAGAGTATTGTTCATGTGCGTATATAGAGGATTGGGCTTGGTCCATCTGATGTACGAGGTTTTGTGTCTTAAAAATATCACAAGCCTGGAGCATGCTTTTCTCCATGTACAGCAATCAAAGATGCTTTGTTTTCTCTCTATTCTCCAAAATAAAAGCTTAACCAGGGCATTTTTGTTCAGGGATGTATTTGATTTTTGACTGACTTCACAACGTTCCCAGATTAACCCTGTGGACTGCTGTATAACCGTCAGGCCTCTGAGCTGACCATTCCATATTGATGCTTTCTGTATAATTATTTACCCATGAACAGGTCATAGAAGCCCTATGGCAATATTTTCTTCCCCGTTCCACATGCAGAATCATTAGTCTAAAAGGCAATATGCCTCAGGTTTCCAGACTACTCACCAATTCATCTTTTCTTTAAGCCATATTATGCATAAGTATTAACTTGCATCACCAAAGCTGGAGAAAGCCTGTCCAGCTCTTCAGAGGAAACAAATTAATTGAATACAATCAATGATAACAAAATGCAGAGGAACCCTGAGTGTATGAAGTTCCTGAACCCCTCCTAAGCTTTCTGATTGACAGGGGCCCAGACAGCAGTAAAAAGCAGTTCTGCAAAGCACAGGGAGCAGTAATTTCATCCTTTTATATGTTAGTTTCCTTATTCAAAAAGTGAAGATTTACCAGCTGGCCTGAAACACTGAGCAGTCTGGTGCTACAGGAGGCTGGCAACTGGGATTATTGCAGGCCTGAAACTGGGTGAGCTGGAGGAAAGGGACATGGGTTCAAACTTAAAAGGGTAAACTTAAACAGGGGAAGTTCAGACTGGATATAAGGAGGAAGTTCTTTACTGTGAGGGTGGTGAGGCACTGGAACGGGTTGTCCAAGGGAGTTGTGAATGCTCCATCCCTGGCGGTGTTCAAGGCCAGGTTGGACAAAGCCTTGAGTGACATGGTTTAGTGTGAGGTGTCCCTGCCCATGGCAGGGGGTTGGAACTTGACGATCTTAAGGTCCTTTCCAACCTTAACTATTCTATGATTCTATGATCACAGAGGTGAATCAACAGCAGAGGTAGAGTTGCACAGTGTTTCAGGGTGAAGAAACACACTCCTCCATATGGTTTCTGCTGGATTGAAGAACACCTCCACTGGGACCTGTCCTGAGTTTGAACACAAGAAAGCTCAGGTGCTACAAAAGATGGCTCATCTCCGGCAACTCCGCCTTCTCCAAGTCTTCTGCCCACCACCTCCTTTGCAGTTTCACTCAAGTTATAAATGGCTCTTCATGGCAGATCTGACCTTCACCTAGACTGAGCTTAGCTGGTGGAAAGGCAGGTTACTGCTCCTTCAAAGCTAGTGACCTGAACATGACAGTGGGCTGTATGTTCGTTGCAAGGGGCAATAATTGGAGCCAACATGACTAAGAGTGATCAGGTAGCTGGGCCAGGATCTGAGTTCATGACTCTTCCCCTATGGCTCTGATGAGACTATGCAGAGCAAGAGACACTCAGGGCTTGTACCACTGCTTACACAGTTTGACAACAAATAAGAAATATTAAAGGCATGCAATCTGAAACAGCCAAGTTACAACTACAGATTATTATTGCTAGAAGTCAGAGCCTAAAGGAAAAGGGGGATAAACTGTGGGAAATGAGGCACTGAAAACCTCTGTGGGAAGCGGTGTTTTTTTCCTGTGTCTAACTGCAATAAGCTAATATAGATCAAATAAAATGCTCCCTCCCAAACTCTTAGAAACTTTGAACAGTAGGAAATTCACCAGTCTGAAGTTGAACAAAAAAATGCTTTGAAAGGAGTGATGCAACTCGAGGAGTAGGCCAATACACAGACTTTGAAAGAGAAAACACTGTATTTAACGTCATTGCTTGCCTTTATACCATCTAAGATGTCAGGAGATATTTTGGCCTCCTGTATGCATCTTGGTCACCATAAGCTGGCGGTCACCAGAGCACCCCATTGCTCAGTGAGGAGGTCACAAAGAAGACAGAGCCAAGCTTTTCACAGTGGAGTGTGGTGGGAAGACAAGGCATAAACTGCAACAAGAGAAGTTCAGGCTGGCTATAAGGACATGTATTATTTTCCCCCAGGACAACCAGGGAGGTTGTGCAGCCTCCCTGAAGGTTTTCAAGGCCCAACTGGATAAAGCCCTGAGCAGCCTGGTCTCATCTCATGGCTTCTTAGAGCAGGATGTTGGACTAGAGGATGTTGGACTAGAGACCTCCTGTGGTGCTTTCCAACCTGAATTATCCTATAATCCTACGGGCACTGGGCACTAAAATTGTTTGCCTACTGCCTATGTGTTGATCCTGTATGAGAAAAGAAATCAACTCCACAATTGGTAGTAAGGACTCTCACTTTGTATTGGAATATTTGGGTTCTGGTCCCTTTTGTAATAGCCAGTTAAGTACCACTATGATTACATTACAATTGAAATTAAACGTAGAAGTGTAATACTCTGTGTTAATACCCAAGTTGTACTTTAGTGTATCAACAAGCAAGTAATTTCCAGCACAGAAAAGTTTTCATCCTTTTCACTGGCGTACGTACTGCACACTACTGTGTTTTGCTACAGTGACTTGTAGGAATTAAAAATACATGCACATGGGAAATAAAGCTTCATCTTCTGTGGCTGGAGCTGTTCAAATATCCAAGGTTCCATCAGAATTTTCCAGCTCAGTGCCATCTTCCCTTACATTTCTGGGGGATGAGAACATAAGGAAATGCCATTCTTTTTACAACTGAATCGTGCTATTACTCCAGCTACTTCTGAGATATTGGTACTGTTTGTTCTCCTAGCAGCAACTTTGAGGAACTTGAATAGTCACATATAGCTCAGATAAAATATAGAAGAAAAACAAGCTGAAATTTTGGTGGAGATCTTAATTATGAATACAGAAGGTAAAGTACATTTTTCTTCAAGTCCAGAATGTCCAGCCTGTACAGCACAGCAAGAATTTCTAACCCTTCTTAAGTAATGCCATTGATGCTAGATATTTAGTGCAATGATTTCAGCAGTGAATGTCAAATCTCTCTCAAATATTTGCCTACTTCTCAGCTCCTAAACTGACAAGTTTTAATTTAAGCAGATATAAGTGAAATCTGCCACAGCACATGTTGGTTAAGATATTTAAATGGTACAGGCCACAATGAGAAAGACACAGAGCACATGCAATCCTCATTAGAATCAGTGTGGCAGGGGCTCTTCTCATTACAGTTATTTAAACAATAAATTAATTAAAAACTCTTCAGAAAGCCCAAGCCCAAAACTATTCAAGATGTGTGGGAAAAATGCCACACTCTTGCAATCTGCTCTTCATGGAAAAAATGGCAGTCCTCTCTTTTCATCTTAATTCTCATCTTTATTTCCCTTTTCCCTACAGAACACCCATGTGGAGTACATAACACAAAACTAAGTAAATGAGTCAATGGAAAGTGTGAAGTTATTAATTCCTGCATCCTAACTCTGAGCAAGCTCGTGTCAATAGACCCCAGCAGTGTAGGTAGTGGCAAACTTAACTGAGGGTCTCATCAAGTTGCCAAAATAATTCCCCAGTCTTTCTGACATGAGTCCTTAATGTACCATAAAAGTCCATACTTTTGTGTTTTGCCCATCCTTTAGAGATACAGTAGGCTTCATGGGACAGATACTATGCCCTTTTTATTTTACTTCTCACAGGAAAGCGCTGTATACAAGCCTATCAGCATATCGGTACCTATCTCTCTTCTCTCCCCACACCAAAGCCTTTTGAACTTGTTGGCACATTTCAAGTCAACTTACTACAGGACTAAGAGATAAAAGATGAAATTCCACAAATATTGTGAAAGTAAGAAGGCAGTACAGAAAATAACTGTAAGTGTTCTTAACGAAAGAGACCTCGAGGAAGAATTCTTTTCTCATACTTATTACTCACCAGAAAATCCCCAAAGGAAAGCACTTTGAAGAATTTCCCAGCCACAGCCAAATCTTGGAATAGACTTCATACCTTCTTAGACATAGGATAATTCAATCACAAGATCCAAGGCCAGAGAAAACCAGGCCTCAAATGTGCCGCTCATTAATTCCAGCCATCAGACCCTGATTCCAGACCTGCATTTGGATAGAACCAATTGGTTATTTCCATCTGTCAGTCCCTGGAGGACAAATGACTGAATCTAAGCCTGCAGTTAGAGACCCACAGTGCCACTTGGATGGACAGGCCTGATAGTAAGTAAGTGATCTTCTGTCCCTTGACTAACCACTGTGTCTTCCTCCAGAGCACTTGCTGAGGCATCATTAATTCATCTGCTGACCATGTCCAGAAATATAACTGTCTTAACTATGCTGGGACAAAGTCTTAGGAGCCTTCATACCGGAGAAGCAATGTGGGATTCATGAACTAGGCCCTCTACTGCTGATGTGCACTTAGAAACATCAGCAAGTGGCTGGTGAAGAGGACATAGTCTCATTGAGTTTGTCCTGTTATGCAACCAGCAACAGCTCAGTTCCCAGGGTTGAGCAACACTGCAGGTGTGGGACTCTCTTTATTGGGTCTGGTCACTTTCTGCCCAAGGTGCCTACATCCCAGGTAGCTTTCAAAAACATTCTCTTTATCTGAAGCTGTGGGAAGTGAAACTGGCAGGTGTTGATAATGATTAACTACAGATGCCCTGTTAATGCCACGCCGAGATGATCAGCCAGTAAGTTCCCATCTGAAGTGCCTAAGAAAATGGAACATAACTGGAACATGCCAATCTCTCTCCACTGACTGAAAAGGTAGTCTAACCCATTAAAAGCCTATGATACACAGGTACCTTTACAATCTGTCCTTCAACCCCTTAAATGTCCAACTCACCTCTGAAAGTTTTATTTTTAGTAAACAATCCAAACTTGTCAGACTCAGAATACATTTCAGACTCTATAAATAATGATCAGATCTTTACATTATAAATCTAGTGCAGAATTTCAAGTCTTTTCAGATGCCAAGTCCTTGCAGCAGAAAGCTTTTTAGATAATAGGATCTTTCTTGTATAATACATTCATAAATTTCCTTCAGCGTTAGAGGTGTAGTTCAAAGATCATTTCAACACTGCTGATTAGTTTCTTAATTAAATTACTGTGTTTAAAAAGGGATAAATAAATACTGGTCACAGTTTAAGGGGAAGCAAAATTGGGTCGCAGAACTTGAAAAGGCTGCTCAATGAAACAAAAACAACAAAACACTGTATTTTTCTTTCTGGAAAAGTGTGTTTGCAAACCGTCAGTGTGATCTGCCTCCCTCCCAAGAGGTGGAATGGAAAGCCTGGACTGAGCTTTCATAAAAGAAGAGGTCAATCAAGTGTGTTTTGTAAGGTGGGGAATGAGATTTACAGCAACATAACCAGTTGGCCAGTTCATTGTTACACACTACACATGTCCTAAATTAAGAGAGCATGAAGCGGGTGGATACATTACACTGTTTCCTGAGAAGCATATTGGGTGAGTTGTTCTTGTTCCAGTTTTTGAGACTCAACACCACATCTCCCAGGAATCTGTAAATCATCAGCAGGTGATATTTGTTGGCTGTCACAGCATGGACAGTCAGAGCCGGTTACAACTTTCACCAGGCGTTTTCTGATCATGTTTTTAAAGTTCTCTTTTCCAGGAAGCTGCAAAACAAACCACAAACCAACAAGTAAAGTAGCACAGCAGAAAACAAAATTCCAGAGATAAGAGACATGCTGATAATATAGTCTTTGACATTTGTTTGGGAGCACTGCTGAGTTAAATATCAGTCCTTTACCAGATTAATAAACATATGTCTGCTCTCTCTCTCTATTCACCTACATAGCCCCTGTCAGTACAGTATCTGAACAGCCCTGGAAACACCAGTGAACTTACCCTCACAGCATCCCTTGGAGGTAGCAAAATACAGAGATTAACAGACTTGTCTGAGGTCAGATGGGAAATACGTGGCAGAGAAAGGCCCCCAAAATTCTGGTTCCTCATAACCATAGAAGCATCTCTTTACAGGGTCCCCTTCTACCTGGTACATAAAAGGTTGTTACTGATTGCTTTTGTGGCCACTGAGGTGGGAACAAAATGTTCACCAAAGACAACTATGCTGGACATCAGGAAAATCTTCTAACTGCAGACAAATAAGGTACTGGGACAGCACATTCACCGTAATGCTGTGGCATGTCCTTCATATGGGTTTTAAAAAAGGGGCTGACAAATAATTCCTAGGAATGGGTCTTTTGAAAGATTGAAGTGGTCTGCTGTGTTCTACACTGCAGACATCGCAGCCTAGGATATTTGTTTGTTGCACTATCTTTAGCTTTGCAGTGCATATCAGAACTTGAGTGGTAGATGACTAATGGTGACATTTATTATCAACACAGTAAAATAGGGATGGGTCTAATTCTAGTGTGTCAGAAGATATACAAAATAATATACTTCATTGAATTACTAAAACAAATCAAGAAGCTACAAAGGACCAGGGACAGGCTCTCTCAGCAATGTTGAACCACAGTAAGTGGAGTGTGAGGGAACATCTCCATATAAAGGGAGTAGGGCTTTGGCACGGACTATAAGGAGTATGTAAGGTGTGCTGAAAATTAAAGCAACTTTCAGGAACTCTTTCAGCAGCTGATCAGTCATGAACCCGCAAGAGGAAAAGGCAAATGAAACTGCCATATCTGCATGGAAGATGAGACCTGTTATGGGTCCAGCCCAAATCCTTTTTTAATTCAACAGAGGACTTCCATCTGACTTCAGGAGCTTGGACTTGACTTCCCCCTTACAAAAAAGTGACCCAAACTTCCAATTTTTACGGGGCTGAATTTGAGAGGAATGCCGAGAAGTTTAGCACCCTCCAATGGAGGCGCTTGATACAGCACATGTGCATGGGGTTTCTGAACATCTGGAAGCCTGGGCACCCAAAGGCCTGGACAAATAGTGACTGCACAAGTCAGATGCAGCCAGAGTGCGCATGACTTACTGTACATGCACTCAGCAACTCACAATGCATAACCACTAAAATGCAGGCATTACATTTCTGAGCTGGGTCTTCCCTGTTCAGAAATGTGCATGTATTCTTGTTTCATGTGACCCAGCCACAGTTTTGCAGTGCATCTTCCGTTCCTTGTTTGGATGGGATTTGCCTCTGCCCTGTTTATAGAGATAAAATAGTAACAGTGAAACAGTTGACACAAAGCATGTGTTTTGAATCATTATGTGCTTTCTGGTGGTTTGTGGGGTTGGTTTGTTTGGTTTGGGTTTTTTTATTATTTGGCCTTTTTTTTTTAAACTGAAAAAAAAAGGGGGCAAAAAACCCAAACCAGAAATACAAAACATACCTGCCTAGCTATGCAGCAGAAATGGATTTTAGGGTCCAGTAACAAATGCAGCCCAGTTTGCTTTCTGTGGAGAAAATACAAGTCACATCATGTATGAGTATATGTTTTTCATGGATTAAGCAAACATCACCATATGCTGTAGATAAAAAAAAAAAAACCAACCCAGTGCGTGCTTGTGTAGAGATACAGAAATCTATCTCTTTCTGCCATTTCTAACAGCATGCAGAGCTAGAGTTCATAGCAGGAGCTGGCACCGAGGAACCAACACGTGCATGTGAATGTGGCCCAGCAGAGATGGATACATTTGTTTGTATACTTCTGTTGCTTCAGGGTGGAATATGCAGTTCCTTTTCACTCTTTTGGCTAATCTGGGGAAAGCTCAAACCACTGTGCCTTAGCATCTTACCATCCAAAAGGGCATTCCTGACCCTGGCACCACAAAATCCTCTGGGTAGCCAAACTGAAGGTATACACCTGAGAGTTTCCACAGCCCAGCTCACCACAGCCCAAGATCACGAATGTGATAACATGATCTTCACCATTCTCTAGGGAGAAATCTAAATCAAAAGCTTTTCAGAGCTACAGGTCTCATGCTTCTGTTCATGGGAGAGAACATTTATCTATGGTCATGGTATGCTGCATTTATCTGAAGATTATATTCAGCTGTTCCCTTTCCAAACCTTCTGATACAAGTGCTCTTAGATGTTCACTAGCCTGTCAAGGATAAAACAAATACAGGGGAATCTTGGAAAGGCATCAAGCAGAGAGAAACCTGGATCACAATAATGAGATATCAAGCGTGGATAACGATCCAAACTTATCTAGGGCCTGGGGTTTAGGTGTCCCCTTTCTGTTCACAACACTGATGCTTACAAAACTAAATTTTTAGACAAGGAACTTCTGTGATGTTGGCCATTGAGTCCAGCCATGCTGGTTTTGGTAAATGCTGAGAAAACTGGCCATTTCAGCATGGAGTTGTTACTTTTGCAAAGAAAGTAAAAACAGATCAGTAACAGCTTGAGGAAGAGGTTTACATAGCCCATGTAAATGAAAATTTTGGCCAGACTTCTTTTATTTCCAATTGTTTCATCTTTATACTGTCTTTTCAGCTTTACATTAAAGATGGTTCTTATCACAGAAATTGGACTCATTTTATTTAAAAAAAAGAAAAAAAATACTTAAATCTCTTTCTAAACTTACTGCCCATAATGCATTCCTCAGCTCCAACTTAGCCTGGCTCCCCACAGACATCCCACAGTCACTCTAGGAGAACCTGTCCTATTGCTCCCCATACTTTCTGCCTCTTGGAGTTGGTATGTGCTGTTGAAGAAACAAAAGCAAACACTGTTTTCTAGCATGACATGACTTTGAAAGCCTCTTGCAAGTCCATCTCCTCTCCTTTCTCCCTGTAAGACCAGAAACCTGTAGCTACAGTTTTTTGGTACTCAAGGCTGGAGTCAGCCATCAGTGATGGGGGAAGGGACACACGACTCAGCTGCTCTCTGCTTACATGATGAGTGTTAAAGCAGAAGCTACTGGCATCTCTGTCCCTACCTTGGTAAACGTTGCTGTACAAAAATTCAAACCAGTTGCAGTTCCAGACCACGATGGGCAGATCCAGACCATGATGGGCAGATCCAGACCACTGACTCAAAATCTCTATGCTCTAGGATCCCTTTCCTGGTTTAACAAAGACAGTTTAAAAATATGGTAGCTTGGAAACTCCCAGCGCTCAATACAAATTACTTTAAGTCCCAGTGGAAAAGAGATTCTTCCATTTCAGTAACATACAGTTTGTTTAGAGAGCTGGCAATTCAGAAGAGACCGAATCATGGTCCCTGCCATGGGTTTCACACCACAGTGACTGGTGAGTAAGGATTTATTTTTCCCACAGTGTTTGAAGGGAGACATCATTCATATAGATATGTTTCCCCATGGTTTAAATGATGGCTGTTAAAGCATGTCCTCCACATTTCAGGAAGCTGAGAGCACCTCTTTTCTAGTCACCTACTCTGGAAAACAGATCAGGTTGTGTACCTTTTCAATCTCTTGGTTTGGATACTCCTTCCGGCCTTTAAAACACAAAATAAAGTTCTGCTAAGATTATGTAAAGGAGATCCTCAATAAAACATTACAGATGGAAAAACATTTCTTTTCCTTCAATTAGCACTTGGCAGCCTCCTCACTAGTTTTATCCATCCTCACACGTAAACCCCACATTTATAACACTCCATTGCTGTCTCAGAGACATTCTCAGCCTGCTGGAGGCTTATGCTAAATACTGATCTAGCCAAAGTCCCATCCAACAATCAATACCTTCAAACACCTTGCTGACTTGCTAACTACAGGGAAAGAGAGGTTATTCCTTGTCATCCTCAGCCCAGCAAAAACCATTCTCATTAGTCACATGAGTCCAACACCATACAATGTCTCAGGTGTTCCTTATAGGTAGTGGCTGCTGTTGCAGCCCTGCAGGAACCAGGTGTATTCCCTCTGTCCTCAGGAAAATACCAGCACCACAGAAAGCCTACCTTCTCAAACCAGTTGGGAGTTAACACAGCAATCAGAAAGAGCCAGAAGCTTTCTACAGAGCTCCAGATCCAGGACTATCATTAGGATTTAACAGTGTACAACACAGGCAGATGTGGCCAAAGAAGTACAGCTGCTGCTAAGCTGGTTGCATTTAGGGTGCAACTGGATCTCAAGGTGGCCAGGGTTTTGAGGTGATCTAACACCTTTTCCTTAATGTGAGCAATCCAAGCATGCCAAACGAGTGAAGATCTACACAGATGTGAATCCAGGCTGCTCAAACACAAGAGATCACAGATCTTAGAACAGAAAAAAGCTGACTCACCTTACTCCCTTCAACTTCCTGGCTGCTGTGTGTTCACATGCTAGGGAGCTTCCAATCCTTCTCTCAGTCCAACAGTTTTCAGTGTGGTCAGCTTAGCCCCAAGCCCTGCACCAATCCCTCTCCCTGAGACCCTCTACAGGGAGAACATGGGGATTTCGTGGCCCAATGCCATGCTCAGGATTTTACCATGAGGGAAACTCCATGTTGGGGGGGTGGGTGTCAGGGAGAATGGGATGCCAGACACTGCCCTCTGTGAAAGCTATTCTGCCCTTCCCATAGACTTCTGAGAAGAAGCAGTTTTCCCCTCTTTTCAGAACTGAAGCATGCTGAATAAAACAACCTTCATCTTTGCTGCTTACCCATAGCTTTTATAACAAAACAGAACATGCATTAGCTGCAAACAAACAAAATAGCTATGTCCCTTCACAGCAAATTACACATCTTTCCATGGCATTTT